CCAAAAAAAAAAAAAAAGAAAAAAAAACTAATGCTTTAAAAACATTTTTAACCAAGCTTCAAAAACTTTAAAAAACCTAAATTGAATGTGCAGATATAAATTAGGCTGCAACAAATCAAGAATATCACAGCAATTAGCAGTTGATCATCCAAAATATTCAAATTTGCAACTGTTGCCGTTTCAGATGATATTCTAAAACTCTAGATAAAGACCAATCAAAAAAGTTGATAATCAAAGACACTCCTTATCGCTGGTTCACTAACTATAACGATAAGGAACTATTCTACCACTAAAGGTTTCTTACACGACTGGTAAAAATCGTTTTTTTTTTTTTTTTAAATTAGAACTATCAAGGAAAATAGTCAGCAGATTACGAAGGAAAGATTAGAAAACGACTATTGCATAGTTTGACACTGAAGCAGTCTGGGAGCAAAACTCAGACAAAAAAAAAAGAAAGCAGAAAATATTTTGGTAAAACTTTTATTTGTTACCTAATTCCCAATATTTTTTTTAACTAACTGTTTATTTTGGAGAAAGTTTATTCGTTTAAGTTTGAGACTACAGTTTAAAAAAATAAGTGTTTTGTTGCTCACAGACTTAACTATTTTTAGAACAGATAATTTATTATTCCGACTGATCCTATCGTCTGACAAAGTGTTTTGCAAACAGAGCCTTCAGAGCCTTCAGACGCAGCAGAAGTAATACTTGAAAGTCCTTCAAAGCTCAGTAATTTTTTGCTTCGTCAGGGAAAATTCAAAATAAAAGAAACAGAAGTTGCAAAAAAAAAAATTAAAAATTTTCTTAGAGGCATACTTCGCTTGCTTCCAGTCATCTAACGATAGAGTGGTCTCAACCATCTGTGCCTTTTTATAAATTTGATTGTAATGTATAACGGCATCACAAAAAGGTACTATACAGTTCGCACCATTTGATACATCGTATTGAATGGTTGCAGTGTCATAGGAGCAAGCTTCTGTCAGTTTACCAGTGTCCTAACAAATAGAGTACTAGCTAAAGAAACCACTGTCTTATTAGATCTGAGATTTTTATAAAGAGATTTTATAAACCTGTTTACCGGACACGACGACGAACAAGGAGTAGCTTTAACAATATCAAGGCATTTTTTATGTGTTATTATCGGAGCTGTTTCAGAAATTGAAGGAGGATTTTTAAGAACTGCATGTAGACGTCCATAAGTACCATTATTAGGAGCTGGCTCAACACCAACCAAATCTAAAACAACAGTGATTGAAATGAAGATCCTTAGCCAAACAGTTGTCAAATAGTGAATAAGTTGATCACAGTACCTGCGAAAAGATTATATAGTTCGATGTTTTCAAACTCTGATATTTCCTTATACTCAGCTATGTCTGGGCCAATAGCAGCAAAAATAGCACGCATAGAAACTAAACGATTATCGTACCCATGATTGCCATGCCAATCTATATTATACAACAATTCTGCTTCATCCCTGTACAAACCACTTCATTCTTTCTAGTGTTTTATATAGAAGATAAACTCTGATGAGTCAAATTAAAATAAAAATTTCATTTTAAAATTGCCAGATATAAAAAAAACTGGTGTTATTTTTGTGCCAAAAAGTGTTCTAAATAAAAAAAAGCGGCGGAAAATGAAATAAGACCAAGGTACGTCTGCAGATGTTCTAATTTAACTATTTGTATCATTATTTATTAAAACTGGGCTGATACCTATCATGACCTCTTCTAAAAATGACTTATAATCTACTCTATCGACTTTGTTAAAGACTACCTATGTCTTTGAGTTCGCTGTTTATTAAATACTAAAAATCATCACAGTTTCTCTGCGGCTGTTATTGACTAAGAAGACCTAAAAAAATTAGTTTAGAGTCATTAAAACTGCTCAAGCTAACCTCATAATATAAACTCCGGCTCTTCCCTCGAGTAGAACATCTCCATTACGTTTTGATTCACCAAAATGAATCCTAGTAGGCGTTAACTTTGTTTTATAAATCAAATAATCTGTACCGTTCTGACATTTCATTTTTTCAATAATAGCATCAATGTCACTATCTGAAAGTGGTTCAGATAATATAGTTTGGATATGATCCGATGTTGATAGTGGGATTACTAGAACCAATCATATGTTCACATGCTAAAATTGGATAACAGAAAATGTTGTACCAAAAATTACAGAAAAAAACATTCAATAAGATGCTATTAATTGAAAAAACTTTTTCTACGGCAAAATAGCCTTAAAAAATCGTTCAACAGTCACCAACTTTTACTAAAATTTTTTATCTTAGAATTAGGCAATTACATTAAAAAAAAACTAAAACCAAAAAAGAAAAGAAGTACATAAGCTCAAGCTTCGTGGTGAAAGTTGAGTGTCAGATAACAAAAAAAAGTGACCATTATGATTTAATGTAATGTAGCCAACAACTCCGGTGTAGAGAATGTCGTGAAAATTTTCTGGAAGATAATCGTGCATCATGACTGTTCGATTATAGTCTATCATTTGCATTCCTAAAAAAACAGTCTTCTTGTTGCCATAAAACTCAGGACAATTGAAAAAACCAAAAAAATTATCTACGCTTTTTCTTCCACTTTTACAGTAGATCTTCAGTTTGTTCTCAAAATTAACACCTTTACAACATTTACAATTTAAAGAGAACTGCACACAAAAAAAATTTTTTTTTCAGCAATAAATCAAAAAACCACGAACCATGGTCTGAAAGTATAATCATATTTAAACATCCCATAAGTCCCTCTTGCACTAATCGTTCGGTTAAATAGTTCAGAAATGAATCCATTAATGTTATTCCATATTTAACCTGAAAGGCTCATTCCTGCTTACCAAGTGATGTGATAAATGCTGGTAAGCAAATGTGTTCAATCAAGACTCTATTTCCTTTCTCTTTTTCTCGTTGCCATTTTTCAGTTCTCTACTCAACACATGCAGTCATCAGATTTCTGAATTACAGAAAAACAGTAAAGAAAGAATTTTACAAATAGTTATATTGATAGCTTGAAGCTTTGTAGCTAAATGTGTATGTACCTTTACTGTAGTGTAAGAAATAAGACATCTGTAGCATTATCGGTTCATGCACTTAATAGTTTTGAATGGTATACAGTAACTTCTGTCAATTATTTTATTAGTTAGATTTACGTAAAACTTAGTCATCAGTAAAACGACTAGCATATTCTTGAGTTTGAAATCAAAAATTAAAGCCTTAATTGACTAGATATTCAATGTTATTTGCAACTGTTTTAACACTTAATCTTTTGCTGCTGTGCATTGTCACTCAGAAGTCATTGTAGATTTTCCGGAAACTAAACGAAAAGAATATTTTCACAAATTTTAACAGTAAATTCCGATCTTCCCGTCTAAATATTTTCAACAGACTAAATCTTAGTAACGAACAGAAATCCAAAAACTTTAGACGCAAATTTGCACTGATATGCTAAAAAGAAAAAAAAAAAACAAAGGTAATTAAGCCACTGGTTAACCGTTATAATATGCCACTAGTACAGAAAATTTTTTTTTTCAGTAATCTTGCAGTATTCTCTTATAATAGAAAATGCAAATTAATCACTAATGCACTAACGAAGATTTTTCTAGAGAAAAAACTTAAGTTACTTCTGAAGATTTGCAACAAATATAAATTATCACTTTTCTCTTCAACTGCTAACAGTAATAACGGCAAATTGCTAAAGATTTTAAAAGTTTCGCTAGAAAATTGATAAGGAAATCATCTACCACAGATTACAAAATATGAGAAAAAAAATACTCTGTGGCAACAAAATCGGTTTCTTTATACTGAACCTTTCTAAATCTGATACCAACTGACCTTCTACTATCCTAAAAGATGCTACTATTTCCGTCGATAGTAAAACTGCACCTTAAAAAATTTTTGTTTTTTTTTTTTTTTAAAGCAAAAGTTAAAAGCACTTCCTGCAGCTAAAAAAGTGTAAAAACAAAAAAATTTGCGAGATTATACTATAAACTACTTTATAAACACTTTAAAACGACAGTTTAAAAAATTTCTTATGTCGCAACTTGATACGGTTAAGCCTTACTTCTTCAGATCCTGGACCACCTTTATGACCACTGCCATCTGGTTCTTCTAAATATAAATTTATGATACTTGGTCTCCTGTTATCGTCAAGCTTAAGCCATTCAATGACCTGAAATAACATAACTTTTTTTTTTAACCATATTACACAACAAAAACGTTTGAGAAGATTTACAGGTTATTCACAGTCTTTACTTGATAAATTATTTCATTTAAAATAAAAATAAAAAGCTTTACATCTTCGGCTCGTTTCTTGTATGGTACTGATTTGTTGAAGACTGTATAATAATCGGGAAGTTGATCTGAAAGTAATACAGAATATTAAACCCTAACTATTACAAAAGGATTAATTGTTCGGTACAGCAATAAGGTTACAGACAGCATTTCCGTTTTTTAAATATTATTTGACTACTTTTTATTAATACGACTGCAATTTAACGTAATTTCGCAAAATTAATGTATAAAATATTTCAAACTATAACAACACTCTTAAAAATGGTTAAAAAAGTGCTCAGTTGATTTTATTTGTTGACGGATATATTAATTAAACTTTAATGTTAAATTTGCAGCTGATGATTATTTTCTTTTTATGTTATCTTTGTTTACGCAGTAAAAAATATGTCTCCAAATAATTGTTTAAATAAATGCGAAGTAAAACAAATATTGTTGAAGGATATGAAATGAACTGTAAAAGCATTGGTACAACTCAAATGCTACACACAGAAAAACGTTCTCAATTGATGAGACTGTGATTTCAATCAGTTAGTGAATCAAAGAACAAAACAATTGGAAAACAAAATTTTGCCAGAAAAAAATTTTTTTTAAAAAAAAGTTCTTCTTTTTATGTTTTGTTAGCAGTTAAGTATTTGTTTGTTAAATAAGCGCACAGAATTGTCTTAAGAATGCAATTCACGGAATAAATAAGAAAGGAGGAGATTTAGAACCTAAAAAAAAATTTATTGAACATCTTCCTTAATAAACAGTCAAAAAGTTTATTTTGCAAAAATTTTCGGCATTGCTAATTGAAAGTTCCATCATAATTTTTGTGTGTCACGTTTTGTTTTATTTTTTTTGCAAAACCTAATTAAACCAGTTTTTCAAAAGTATATTACAGAGTTTCAGTCTTGTAAAAACAGCTTACATTTTTTCCAAATTCAAATTCTGTACACTAAGTTTTTTTTTGTGTAAGCATCTAGTTTACTTGTAAAAAAAATTGATTATTTAGGTCTTTCAGGTATTTACCTGCTTTAAAAATAATCCGAGAAACGCAAACGCAGAAAGAAACAGTACTGAATTTCTTTGCAAAAAATTTATTGCAAAAACCTGAT